AGAAACACGTGGTTGGAACCACTCACTCTTATCACAGTTTCCCTCCCTATATGGTCACAGGGAACTCAACCACTGCCCAACTCACCTCAACCTAGTTTAGCACTCGTGTCTGTCTTTTGACTGACCTGTAGAGCACTGAGCTCAGTTGAATGAGCTATGAGCCATTCCATGGCCACACCTGTCTTTTCTGGACATCCACACTTATAATTGTGTGCCAGAGAACAATGGGGACTATGGATTTTCAAACTCTGCTCCTGAGGGCAGCACATGAGCTGTGAATGATTAAATGTGTCCTGTCTTCAGAATTAAGACATGTAGAGTACTCAAGAGTGGAAAGATGAATGAAGGTTCTATGCTGTTTAGTACAATGAAGTTTCAGCATACGATATAAACATTGTGTCAGTCTTTATATAAAGAAAACATTATTTGAATGTCTTGGGGTCTTGTATTGCTGTAAAGAGACACCATGACCATGGCAACTCTGCATAATTTATTCTTTAAATTGTACCCACCCTTCCTACTGCCCCCCCATTCAACTCCCACCTCCAGTCACCCTGAGTCCACTCCTCCTCAAGGATAAGGGCTCCCATGAGGAGTCACCAAGATGTGACACATTAGGGTGGGGCAAGGCCAAGCTCTTCTCAATTGCATTAAGGCTGAGCATGGCCGCCCGTCATAGGGAATGGACTCCAACAAACTAGCTCAAGTACCAGGTTTGTATCATGGTACTACTGCCAGGGGCCCCTCTGATAGTCCAAGTTTCACAACTGTCTCCAACATATGGAGTGCCTACATCAGTGCCGGGGAGTCTCTACTGCTTGCTGTCTGTCTACAGTTTATGAGTTTCCACGAGTTTGGTTCAGCTGTTTCTAAAGATTTCCACTCCATGTTCATAACTTCCCCTGTTAATATATTCCCTCCTTCCTCTCTTCAGCTGGATTCCTGGAGTTAGGCCTGCTTCATGTTTGTGGATCTCTTCATGATCAATTACTGGATGAAGACCCGATGATGGTATTTGGGGTAATCACCAATATGATTATAGGTCATGGCCAGTTCAGGCACTCTTTCCACGATACTTGGAATCTTAGCTGTGGTCATCCTTTGTAGATTCCTGGGAATAACCCTAGCAACAAATTTCTTCTTACACCCATACTGGTTTCTCTATTAAGATATCACTCTCATTACTCTTCCACTACACCCCCCCCCCAAGACCATTCTGTTTCCTCCTGTTCTCACCCTCCTCTTAAATCACCTTTAACACCCATCCTGGCCCAGTTTCCCCCGTAGATCCAATCGAATTTCCTTTACCAGGGCAATCCATGTGTCCCTGTTAGGCTCCTCTTTGTTACCTAGCTTCTCTGCAGCTTGGATTGTAATCTGGTTTTCCACTTGTGAGGGAATTCATACCATGTTTGTCTTTCTGAGTCTGAGTTACCTTACTCAGGATGGTTTCTTTTATAGCTCCATCCTTTTGCCTGAAATTTTTCATGAGATCATCATATTTTACAGCTGAGTACAATCTCTTTAAGTTACAACATTTTCCTTATCCATTCTTCGGTTGAGGGCATCTAGGTTGTTTCCAGGTTCTGGCTCTTATGAATAATGCTGCTATGAATATTGTTGAGCAAGTATCCTTCTGAAATGATTGAGCACCTTTTGGGCATATGCCCAAGAAGACCACAGCAACTCTCATAAAGAAAACATTTAATTGCAATGGCTCACTTACAATTTCAGAGTGTCAGTCCATTATCACCATGATGGAGAACAGAGCAACGTGCAGGCAGATGTGGTGCTGGACCTGAAAGAGCTACATCTGCAGGCAACAGGAAGTCAACTGACTGTCATAATGAGGGAAGCTTGAGAAAAAGACACCTCAAAACCCGCCCCCATAATGACACACTTCTTCAAGTAAAGCCACAGCTCCCAATAGTACCACTACCTTTGGGGGATATTTTCTTTCAAACTACCACATAAAGGTGGATAGACTCGGTATTCAGTACTGCATGGAATTTCCCTGGGGTCTGGGTCTTGCCATTCTTGCATTCCCCAGTTACAGGGGAGGAGAACCCAGGCTCTGGGATGCTGGAGCCCGAGAGAACAGAGAGAGAGATAGACAAGGAGCTGAACTCTAAAGTTATGGGTGTAATCTTGAATGCTTGGGTGTGAATTCCCAGGGTTTGCTGATGGAGGAGAGGTGGGGAGTATTAGGAGTGAAAGATAATCCACTTGTTACAGTTTGATAACAGGGAGGTGGTGGTAGTTCTGGATTATGGCATAAATCATGCCATATATAAGTGAAAATGTTTGACCTGTGTAGACAGTGGCACACGCATCTCTTGAAGTCCTTCCAATTGACAGCAGATAAGTAGGAATGCATGTACAAGGAAGAGATAATGGTGGAATGTATGGACGTAAATGAAGGACAGAGGTCATAGGGCCAGAGCACAGCATTCAAAATAATACATGGATAACTCTTGCGAGTGGGATGCTCAGGTTTGAATTCCTGAGCTTTCACCACCCTTCCCACCCCTGTGGACAAACTGTCTGGGATTCTGACACCACAGGTACCCGTCTCTGCCCTCCAAGGTGCACTGCCGAGGCCTTAGCTCTCCAGGAGCTCTAAGGAAATATGTTCTTTTGAGCTGATATTTCTGTGCTCTGGTTTATTTTTCTTTCATAAAACACAAAATAAAAGCTGGCTTCCTGTATATAATGAAGTAACATGGAAGAATAAAGAAATCACAAACCATCATGGAAGTCCCACCAAATATTGGGACTGAATTTTGAAGGAAAAAAAGTGTGGGAATCCCACAATGACACCAGACTTTCCTAGTCTTTGAGGACTCCTCCTCACTCTGGATCTTCTAATGTGACTCCCACAGCCCTTAGAAGTATCAGTGATTCTAAGTACCCAGAGCAGTATCACAAAGTAGGCATGACAAGCCTGACCTCATCCAGGGGCAAGACAGACCCATACCTGGTCAATTCATAGAACACTGGTTAAAGCGAACAGGACACTGATTAGCTACAAAATATCTTTTTAGAAGATAGAAGGTGTTGACTTTATGCTCTAGGTGGCCCCATTTCCTTCCATGAGGAGACTACTCACACACACAATTAACTATGTGCAGGAAACCCACAGACCTGAGCATGTTGGAGAGATATAACTCTGAGCTATAACACACAGTGATTGTAACAAATCACACCTTCAAAGACAGAATGGGTGGATGCTGGTTGTCTTCTGCTTGTGCATACTGTGTCCACTGATAAAGTCCTTCCTGCCTAAAAAACTGTTACTTGCCTGATGTCGAGTTCACTATGCTCTGTTCTACCTTGCAGGGTCTCTACCCAAGAGCATAAAGGGGAAACAGATACTGACTGAGATAAGGGGAGATGTTGCCCTTGCACTCTTGAGCTGGGATGCTGGACACGCTGAGATACAGAGCTCTGAATCTCTCCCCCTAACAGTTGTCTTCCCAGGTATCTGCTAGTGACACCACATAAAGAAAGAAAGAGTACACAGAAACAGCCCATTACTCTCCCAAAGCATGAACTGAAACCTGAAAAAGATGTGCAACAGCTCACGTTGCATGTGGCAGAGGCTCCACTCTGGTGTCCAACACCTTCTCACCAATATCCAGGGAGAATTTGCCAGTGTCCTCGATGAGGACAGTGGCTATGACTGCAGAGCTGCCTTAAACCTCTGAAAGCAACATACCTCCTCCCCATGCTCACTACATCAACTTTTCTTGGGAAAAACCTCCTCCATTCCTTGTTGGGAATATCATACGATTGTTGGTCCTTCCTTGACATGGCCAGAACACCCAGTCTGTGATTCTGGTTGAAGTTCACTGTCTGTTCAACTGACTCCAGGGTGTTAGGAAATCTAATCTCCACCATCACCTGGATCAGACACACTTCTACTGACACACATGCTGCAGGGTGTAGGGTTCTGATAGCCATTCTTCATTGCTCCTGTGTTTTCTTGTATGGAGACTGCCTATAGGTGAGATTACATCAAACAATAAGTAGATACAGAAAGCAAACACACCTGGGCAAGGACTCAGTGGACAAGGCCTCTGTGAGGGTCTGAAGCCAGAACTCACCAGTTTTGAAATGTGATGCTAAACATCATGTTTAGAGGATAAATTTACTGTGTTAAGCATGTAAAAACAAAATCCTCTTTAGCTTGTATAACCCATGAGGTAGTAGCTTCTACCTTGACTACCTTCAATGTACCCTGTCAGCTGGCCACAGACAGACCACTTCTTGGTGCAGTTAAGCTACTCTTAGAAGAAGAAGAAAAAGAAGCTAACTGTTGAGCATTTCACAGTCTAAGTTGTTCCTACAAGGTAATAGCTCACAGATTAAATATGCTAACAGCTATGATCTCATTTTGTATGAAACACTGGCTTGCTCGGATAGTTGAAGCATCTGCAGGATATCTGTTACAAGATTAAACTTTGCACACATATAGGCAGGGATAGTAGTTAATGTGGACCCTAAGAATATAACTCTGTGGCTTTTTCCCCCTTACATTACATTGCTAACAATGGTCAGGTCCTTGGCTAGAGAACTCTCTCTGGCTTGGTTCTGGATGAGGTCTTTTTAATTAAAAGCCTCAAATTTATTAAAACCAAAACTTAAGTCAGACTGGTACAACTCTTAACAACCGAAGACACACAACAGAAGGACAGCTTGTCCAACTAGTTGTCATCATCTAAGTTAGCAGTCTCCAGTGGGGAAGTTATAGGGTTGGATCCAGCCTGTGCTGGTTGGATCCAGAACTGTGCTCTCGTGGTCAAACCACAGACTTAATCAGGCCAGCCTCAAACTGCTTACACCATCTTCACCTTTAAAGCACCTCCCCATTGTTTCATGCAAACCAGCCATTTCTAGGAATAGAAACTGAAACCCACTCTGACTGTAAGTGGGATTGGATAAATAGAGCTCATCCACCCAGAAAAGGGTAGACAGCAAGGGCTGTGTGTGGACCAGGAAGGATAAAGTAACTAGGAGGAGATCAGGCTATCGATCCCAAATCACCCTCCTTTCTTTATATAGTTCTTAGGACACCAGCACTCCACGTCTCACCCCTTATTTTCCTGGACATTCTGAGTGTGAACTCCAGTTTTAGATCATCCCTAGGGAACTACTGTTGCTGTTGTGCAAAGACGTTTCCTAAAAGGAGAGCTTTCCCAGAGGTGCCATTGCCACCAGATCAAGGTCACCACTGCTGAGGTAAGTGAATGCTGTCTAAGTATTTAAGTTCACCTTGGTCAAAACTCTACATGGGTGATAACATCAAGAGTGGAGTGCTGACCCTAGCCCAAGAGAGCTTGGGGACATTTACTCAGGGAGCATTCACAGTAGCATCCTGCTGTGGCCATCTTCTGTGACAAAGAGCTTCCCACAGCAGAGAAGCAACAGCCCTTCCTTCCCCATGAGTGTTGTGGATGTGCCAGTCTTCTGAAGCAGTCACGCTTGGAGACAGACAGCAGCTGGGTTACCCAGATGCTCTTGGAGTCTATGCTGTAAACTCATTTGCCCCATGGAGATAAAATCCCAGATCAGAAACAATCACAATCTCTGGCAGATCAGTTAGAACACTGAGGCTGTCAAAGATTCTGCTGTTCTCAGTCGTTATTCTGATGGGCTCACCTTTATACTTCTTGATGCTTCTCTCTTGCAGTTTGTGGAACACTGTGCTCTGTGTATTTGCAGGGTTTTAACTATAATATGACTTTAGGAGTTTCTTTTTCTGCCCTGTGTATCTGGCATTCTCCAAGCCTCTTTTATCTACCTAGATGTGCTTTTGTGTCCCTAGATTTGAGGACATTTTTGCTAGGATTGGTTGAGAATGTTTTCTATGCTGTTAGAATGGAGTTCTTCTCCTTGAAAGCCCATATATTCCATGGTGTTCCACAGGTCACACGTGCTCTGTTCATAGGTTTTTTCATATTTATGTTCATCCTTGGAAAGTCTTCTGAGTCCTCCACCATGTCTTCAATCCTGATATCCTCTCCTCCATATGATCTTCTCTGTTGCTATCTTTCCATTGACAGCTCTTCATCTCTAACCTCATTTAACTCAAGACTTTCCTCAGTTTTCTCTTCATTGAATTCCATTTTCACACCCTGTGTTGACTATCTTCATTCAACTGATTGTGCCCCAGCACGCGGGGTCAGTCTACAGGGACCCTGAGGGAGGGAGTGAGAATGAGGGGACAAGAGATGTGAGAGATGGAGACAAGACAGTATTCTGATCAAGCCTCGTTTAATGAATATAACCACAGGGTTTAAGTAATGGGGAAATGAGGGAATGGGCCAAAGGGAGGATGTGAGGGAGGCAGAATGTCCTTCCAAGCAGAATGAGGTGTCTTGCTATAAGATAAGTTGCTGTATGATAAGCCTGAAGCTGGGACTCTTTCAGGGTCGGGCTGCATCATATGTTTAATGAGAGAACAGTCAAAGGAAAACTACCAGTATGCTAGTATCTAAGAGAGTAGTAGGAAAGATGCTAACTTTCTCTCGAGTTCCCCATAGGTCCCCCTTTTAAAAATAGTTAAAAAGGCCATGAGGTGGGATATCCTTCATGGGGCTGTGCCTGTTTTAGATCAGAAAAATTCTTGGATCAGGAGTGTGTCATAGCCTTACCCGTCATTGGAGATAGCATCTTGTGATGAGCATTCCTGTGTTAGAGGGCTATTGGGCAGGACACTCTTTGTCCTTCCTCTGTTGCCCATCATTGGCTAACCAGCCCTGCTCACCAAGGAGAGAATGACTCTGAAGAATTTATCTATATACAGGTTTAGATGTGTATTGGCTAGAGTTCATCATAGCTGTCTCCCATATTGGCCATATCAAGGAGATGATAATGCACCTGTAAGGGTTGCATTTTTATAGCATCAATTTGATTTTTAATGAAAGCCATTAATTTGTTAAACAGAAAAGGTCCTAGCGATAAAAGAATTAGTAGGCCAGCAGGGGACCTAGCAGGGGAAGGAGGTAAGACAGGAGTCTGTTCCAGGTGCTCCAAATGGGTTGGCCAAACAGCTCTCTGAGATACTTCTCTAGCTCTTCTTGATCTTTCTTGATTCTGTCTCAAACTGTTCTGGATTTGTTAGCATAAAACCAGTATTTTTCCTGTAAAGTCAAACAAATGTTTCCCTTGTTGGCAGTAAGTCTAGCCCTCTTCTCTTTTGTAGGACTACCGCTGGTAGAGAGTCAACTTGGTCCTGAAGGTCCTGGTCTGACCTGTAGATGGTCTGTACATCATCAGCAAGCTGTTGAGATAGCTTGGAGTATAATTTTATTGCTATTCCCATGCCTGTGGAACCAGTGGCTAGGGTTCCTGAAATACCAAGTCCAACCAATATTGGAATGATTTGGACTATTCTTTTGTAAAATAGTCTATGCTGATTATTGGGATGGGCTCATCTATATCTGACAGGAGGGTAGCCAGGACACACAACCCTGTCCAATTAGCAGGGCGCAAAAAATAAGCCAAGCCATTGCCTCAAACTAGGACTTGTCCAGACCCAGCACATAGAGCTGTGGATATATTAATCACTGAAAAGCAAGAGGTAAAGGAGGCCTGTCCTACATCTATATCAAAACTGTCATTCTTACAGTGTTTAAAAAAGCATGAGGAATTATTAAATCCTGTATGCTAAACCTTAAAAGGGACACTAAGTGTGCCGTTATCCTCCAGCATGAGATCATAACTAGGCTACGAGGAATCATTAAGCACAGGGACTGCTAGGGGCCAGGAGGTTCCCAAGATCAAACATAGCCAGTAGTCATTTGCTAGGTGGGGTTGGTAATGTTTGCAGCATAATGGGTAGCAGACAGTATGTCTGAGGTTTGGGAGCCGATGTCTGCATCTCTGGGTTTGGGAAGTAATAATGGACTTTTTTCTTGGACTACAGTTTTTCTGATCCGGTCCACCATCAAAGATGTGAATAGGGGCTATCTTAACCCAGCATGCTGGTTTCCAGGTGGAGCAAAGCATAAAGCCTGAGCATATTTGTTGGAGCTGAGAACCTGAGGGATAGTTCCCCAGTCTCCTCCAAAAGACCATCTGGGACAAAGTCCTGGGGCAGAGGCTTTTTGAAGCATGCCTTTTTGTTTTTGTGGGCAATTTTTTGCAAAGTGGCCTGAGTCTCCACAATTGAAACACTTATTTCTGCCCTGATCTGATAAGAATTGTTTAACAGTAGCACCTTGCATAGCAGCCACCATGGCAAGCCCCTGTTAGTAGGCTGCTCCTATCTCAGAGCAGAGGAGAATGTAGCCAGAAAGATCTGCCCCCCCCACCCAATATGGCCTAAGGGCAGCCTGACAGGCAGCATTTGCATTCTCAAACGATAATTGTTTAACAAATTCAGTTCCTGAATCTGTACTTCCGAAAATCCTTCCTGCTACTGTTAGTAAAAGGTGAACAAAATCTGAAAAAGGTTCATCGGGCCCTTGCTTAATATTGGTAAGGAAAGAGCTCATATCCCCTTTAGCAGGTAGCCTCTTCCAAGGTCTGGTTTGAATTTGGGCATATAGCCCAGTTTCATATTTCATTTGAACATCTTCTGCCCAAAATTTCCCTCTCCCATCAGCATATCAGCGTTCCAGCCATTGCTAGCTTCTGGTTCCTTTTTGCAATTTCCTTACAAGCCTCTGCAAATTCTGATTTCCATAAGAGGTAGTCTCCTCCTGCCAGAGTTGCTCTAGTTAAGATATACCAGTCTGAAGGAGTAAGCCACAGATTCTATGATGGCAGTGGTATAAGGAGCTGTGGCCCCATACTGGGAAACTGCAGTTTTAACCTCTTTGATTACATTAAATCAAAACCTGTATGATGTCGCCATGCACCCCCTTGTGCATCTGTAGTTTCAAAAACCGGAAAGGCAGTTACATTTCTCTGTTGCTGATGACTAAGAGACATCCTGGGGGCAGCCCCTTTAAGGGGTGGCCTGGTGGTGGTCTTTTGAGAAGTCTTGGAGGATTTGCCAGTCTTTAAACTTTCTAATTGGGCAATTAATTCTTGGTGTTCTTTTTCTAAGCGAATTTGTTCCTTAAGATATTGAATTTTGTCCTGTAATTCTTTCTGGGGGGTTTAAGGCCGGGCAAGCTAGAGGAGAAACTGTGAGAGGAGGTGTATAGGGCAGAAGCCATTGTTTTAACAAAGGCCAGACTGACTCATGACATACTCCTTGCTTCTTCCTCCAAGTCCTCCCAATCCCCATCACTAAGGTCTTCATCCGTGGATGATTTGTTCCTAGTGAAAATTTTTAGTGTTGGGAATACACACACACACACACACACACACACACACACACACATATATATATATATTTGGTTTAGCTCCTAAATCTCTAGTGTTGGGTTTAGCTCTTTCTTACTTGGGTCTGTGGGTTAATCTTTTCAATATCTTCAGTATCACTCTCAAAGAACATGAGGTTCTTTTCCTCATTGGGCTGTTCCTCTGAGCATTTTTTCTGAGGTTCATAATTTTTTTCCAAGGTCAAAGCCACACGGTTTAAGACATTTTTCTCCCTCTTCTAAAATATTGACAAGAGGGTCAATTTGTTTGTGAGAAATTATTTCCTCAATTAAGTTCCAATATGAAAATGCTGTTATGGGTACTTTTCCAGGTACAAAATCCTATAATAATCTTTTAACGTGTCTCTTACTTTTTTCCATCTTTTCTCATCTATTATTCCTTCAGTGGGAAACCATGAACAAATCCCTTCAATAAAATTTAAAAATTTAAGGAGATCTTGCATTTTAAGCCAAACCCCTAGTGCCTTGAGTGCCTTCTTAAGACCTTAAACAAATCATTCATGTTGGCTTATTTCTTGTCCCATTTACCAAGGCCTTGTGGAGGTGGCAGGCTCCCATCTACAACTTCCTCTTTGTCTTCTTTTGATAAGGCCAGCTCTTCCCTGAAGCCCTCCTACTGTAGCCCCATGTCAGGGCTGCCAAATGCCCTGACCCCCTGGGGTCAGTCGATGGGGACCCTCAGGGAGGGGTTGGCAATGAGGGGACGACAGATGTGAGAGATGGAGACAAGACAGTATTCTGATCAAGTCTTGTTTAATGAATATAACCACAGGGCTTAAGTAGTGGAGAAAAGAGGAATGGGCCAAAGAGAGTATATGAGGAAGGCAGAAAGTTCTTCTAAGCAGGATGCAGGTGTTCTGCTGTAAGATAAGTTGCTAAACGATAAGCATGCAGCTGGGACTCTTTCAGGGTCAGTCTGCATCATATTTATCAAGAGAACAGTCACAGGAGAATGGAAAACTACCAGTATGTTAGTATCTAAGAGAGTAGTAGGAAAGATGGCTGTTGAGATGCTAACTTTGCTCAGGGGGTCCCCACAGATTTTTGAATCCTCTTTCTTTAATCACATTTACACCATCCATTTGAATATTTTGTCTGGAACTTTATCTAAGTCTGGGATTTGTACTGTTTAGAGGAGACAAACTGTCAAGGTTTTTCATATAACCAAATATTTTATTTGTTTTTGAATTTGCTTAGATCACTGATTGGCTTTTCTTTAGCATATATTTACTGACTTTCTTATTTTAAAATGAGCAGTTGGGTGGGCTTTGAAGGCTCTGATGCATGGGGTGGTCAGCAGGGGTCAGGTGAACTTGGATGTCTAAGACTCCAAAGTATGAATGCTGACCTCCTTGAGTGATTATGGGGGTAGACAACTGTCAACCTGACAGACCAGACAGTGGGTGGGAAAGAGGCCTAGCAGTCACTGGAGGTTGGGGGTCTGAAGTCTCTGAGGCATAGACACTGACCTCATGGATTGGATCATGGGTAGACAGGCTATCAGCAACTCATGAAGTAGGCAGGTGGTCAGGGATGCTCTAGTCAGTGTTTTGGAGACAATATTTTACAAAATAGTGCTAGCTGGCTTACATTACATTATACCAGTGCAATGCTCTTAGGCAGACACTGTGAATCACATTCTGTGGAGTATAGTCATCCCATGGCTGTCCTTGTATATAACATTAGACTGTCTTCCTTCCTTCCTTCCCTCCTTCTTTTCTCTCTCTCCTTCTTGCTTTCTTTTCTGAATTTATTTAATTTAAATGCTTGCCATGAACCAAGGGTCTTTTGTTTATTAAAATATAAGTGCATCATTACCCATTCTCTTCCCTGCAGTCCCTTCCATGCCCCTTATTCCCTTTAAATTTATGGCCTTTAATAATTTATTACTGTGACATATCTTCAAACAAATACATATATAAATGCAACCATCTGTATTTAGTATAGCTTGTATATACAGATATACAGATAGATGATAGGTGATAGAAAGATGGATCTATGGATAGACAGACAGACTCATCCCTGGGTAAGACTTCTTCTGCCTCTCTGCAGCATTTTATCACTTGTGACTCTTCATCTAAGTGTGACAACACATGCAACTTCTCACATCCACTTTGGCATGTCAAGTGGTGGTATCCTTGTTTAGCTCTTGTTTAAATGGCTGTGATGCTGAGGTTTCATGGGTATTTAATCAGGTCACATGCAGAAGTCTCAATCTGGCAAACTTAGCAATATCAAGACTTTGTGGTCTTCTGACTCTTGGAGTCTTTGCACAATCTTTTGCACTGGTTCCTGTGTCTTGGGTGGAAGGCTTGGGTTATAATGTATCAACTGGGCACCTCAAGGTCAGTTGTTCTCTGCTCTTTGAATTGCTGTGGCTTTCTAAAGTGACATCTGATGTGAAAAGCAGCATCTTTGATGGTGAGTGAGAGCTCCTCTTATCTGTCGGTGTAAAGGTAAGTAGAAAGTATATTCTTAACTGGGATAGGAAAGTGGTCACTATGGATGGAGATCTATGACCTCACTATCCACAGGTGGTTGGTTAAGTTTTCAGTTACCAGGCATGATTTTCTTTTTCAGCCAGCCTCAAGTTCAATTAGACGGCTGTGGATTACCACCAACACATAAATGCTACCATTGCACCTCTAGAGTTATCAAAAGGAGGGGATCATCATTGTGGCTCACAGGTGCCATAGCTGGGTAGGATCATTGAATGTTTTCTTCCCTTGGTAACCTGCACAGCCAGCACCTTCTGCTATTAGGAAAGCTAGTCCTTTCATATGCAGATGCAGCTTAATTTCTCTGAGTCCTGTATTTGAACTGTGTGCTATCTTCATCAAAAGGGCCTTCAACTTCTGGGGATCAAGCAAGGAAAGGAGCAGTAGCCTGTGCTATTTCAGGAGTGTTTTGGACTCCCCTGACCAGCAACTCATAGAAGTTCCCCACTCCTGACAATGAAGTTTTTATTACTCTATGACTCACAAGGGAGACATTATCAACCAAGTGGCATAACATTATTTAAAGTGTATACATAAGGAATGAACCAGACCCCCTGAACATAGGTATCAGCTAGGAGGCCTGGGCAGTGTATAGCACTTCATGCAGTGGCACCAGGATTTATCCATAGTGCAGGAATGGAATTCAGGAGCCCATTCCCCATAGAAGGATATTTTCTTAGCCTAGACACACAGACAGACTTTGACTTGATAGACTTTGATGATCCCTCATGGAAAGCAACACCCTTCCTGCAGAGTAGATGGGGGGGTCAATGGGGGACATGAGAGGACAGGAGGGAGAGGGAACTGGCATTGATATGTTAAATAAGATTGTTCATAATTTAAATAAAATTTATAAAAAATAATGTGTATACTTATACATTATAAGTGTATATATAATATAATCTAGGTAAATATGAAGTAATAAGATTCCAAATATAGTCTTTTTCTTATAATTTTAACTCTTTCTCCAAGTTAACCCTGGTGCTTTCTGGATATCTGAGCCATTGTGGTTTTGAGAAATGTTATGACCTTAAAAATCAAATCAGCATTATGCAGGATGCTTGTCAGAGTTCTCCCTCTCTGTGCTTGTCCCTCTCAATGCCTGGTGTGGAAGCTCTGATTCTTACATTGTATTGATTTCTGACCTACTCACCCCCAGAGGACACAACACAAGGATGTACACAGCTGAGCATCTGAAGACAAGGAAGCAGGGGTCACTCACTTAGGAGTCTGCCTACCACAGGGGCCATGTCCTCTCTGCCCTATGAGAACAAAGGGAAACTACAGTTAGTTGGACATCTCTTTTCAATTCAGCCTTTTCCATCCCTTGTCCAGTGTCATTTCCTCAATATAGAATAAGCAGACTAAGAGACCAGAGGCTTTGTGGCAACTCAGTAATGGCTTCACATAAGGTTGAAGACCTTACTAGAAGTCTTGCTTCTTTTCTGTCCTTTTAGGGCTAACACCATATATGGGTGTCATTTTAATGAAAATAAAGGAATTTAAAGGAGGCTTCAAAGTGATAATAAAGGCTGCAGTAGGTAACTTCACAGAGTAACTGGAGTCTGAATTAGAGCAAGAGGTGCAAGGAAATTCCTAGCAGGATTGAAGTGAGAGCAAGTGGCCTCTTTTTATCCAGGTCAGCAGTGGAAGCAGCAACCAAGACAAGACAGGAAAGGCAGTACAGAGGGAAAATTAATAACTAAAAACTATGGGACTCATGGCAAGAAGGGAAAACTAGAAAAAACAAGTGCTTCTGCCAATAAGATATAGTTAGCTCCCTGACTGGAGAGTATATTCTCCCTGCCCCCATTATCTTAAGGACTAGGCCACTGAGCCTGCCGGTCCTAAAGAAAGAAAACCCCCTCACCTTGCAGGTGCCCTAAACAATCCCACCTTGTAAAAACTTTGTACTCTATGAAATCTCTGTAACCTTGGAAACCTTATGGGCTGAGACTAGCAGTCTCAAACCTCCCTGTCCCTTTAAAAACGCTTTGCAATTGTAAGTGGGCACCTTATTTTTCTGATAGAGTGAGGTCCCAGCCGGTTCAGTTCTTAGCAATAAAAAACCTTTTGCTTCTGCAGTCACTTCCTTGGAGGTTGAGGAAACCTGGTAGGCACAACACGGATCTGATGTGGGTTAGGGCTGGGGTCCTGTACCAGCAAACTCCAAAGCTGTGCCCTACTTTAACTAATGATTACAATTTCTCTCTGCTCCATTCAGCTTCTGCCATACAGAGACATGGCTTGGGCCTCCAGCATTGATGCATTCTTTAAGAATTTTAAGAGGGAAAGCCAAATCCTCTCTGAGGAAACCATCACCTTGATTACATCCCACATTCAGAAAAAGAACCTCCAGGAGGCACTTTCTGTCATCCACAATGCACTGAAAGACATCGAGAACGCCCCCCTGAACATTGCTGTAACAGGGGAGACTGGGACAGGGAAATCCACCTTCATCAATGCCCTGATGGGGATGGGGCAGGAAGACGAAGGTGCAGCCCCCACTGGGGTAACTGAGACAACCATGGAGAGAATGCCATACCCACACCCAAAGCTTCCTCGGGTGACAATATGGGACCTGCCTGGCATTGGGTCCACTAAATTCCCACCACAAAACTACCTAACAAAAATGAAGTTTGCTGAGTATGACTTCTTTGTTATCATCTCTGCTTTACGCTTCAAAGAAAATGATGCACAACTAGCAAAAGCCATTGAAATGATGAAGATGAATTTCTACTTTGTCCGAACAAAGATAGATAATGACATATATAATGAAAAGAAAAGTAAACCTAGAACTTTCAGTAAGGAGAATGTCCTGATGAAAATTCAAGATGACTGTTCAAAGCATCTCAAGGCAGCCCTCTCCAGTGTACCTCAAATCTTCTTGGTCTCTAACTTTGATGTGTCTGAGTATGACTTCCCAAAGCTGCAATCTACCCTATTGGGTGAGCTCCCAGCCCACAAGCGCTACATTTTCATGCTGTCCTTAAACAATGTTACTGAGGCCACCATTAATCTCAAGAGAGATTCCCTGAAGCAGAAAGTCTTCCTAGAAGCCCTGAAGGCTGGCGCATTGGCCATCATTCCATTGGTTGGCATGATCAGGGATGAGTTACAGGATCTGAATGAAACATTCAATCTCTACAGGTCTTACTTTGGGCTGGATGATGCCTCATTGGAAAACATTGCTAAAGATTTTAACATGTCTGTGGATGAACTCAAGGTACATCTTCGCTTTCCAAATTTGTTTGCAGAAGGCAACAATGTATCCTTAGGGGAAAAACTATTGAATTATATTGAACTCATTTCCTCATTAACTGGTGGTCCATTGGCTGCTAGGTTTTACTACAGAAAGACTTATTATCTGCAAAATCTCTTTCTTGATGCTGCAGCAAATGACGCCAAAGCTCTTCTTAATAGGGAAGATCTTTTTGAAGAGAAGGTGGGACCATACATATCTAAGGCTCCCGATTACTGGGAATGATGGACAATGAGACACAAACTCCAATCAGTGTTTACTTCTGACTGCTTTGAACATTGAGTCATAACCTACTCCTGAGTAACAGACCTTGTCTGTGGAGCCAAAGAGTTCATCCTTTTCCTCATCCTGAGCCAGAACACTGTGGCAAGTGCTCAAGTTGCTGTAGTAGTAGAAGTAGAGCCATCAACATTTTACAAATGCATGAGGAAACCTCATTTACAATAAAAATCGTATGTAAAAAAACACCCATGATAATATGGATTTGATTTGCAGTTTTGTGATCAAGTGAATCTTGGATCTTTTACCCCTGTGAAAGTCTTCACACACTTTTGCACTCTTAGAGCCAGGCCTGCTTTGTCACATTGCTTTGAAGGCATCTGGTGCCCAACACTGTTGCAGGGGACAAGTCCAAGTGGATAGCCTCTTGGGGAATGTGGCAAGAGATCCAGGAGCCAGGTGAAAAGCAAAAGTCAACTTCTTTATTGAAGGTATGGGCAGGAGATCCAGGAGTGATGGCAAGCTGGAATAATTTATTGTCTCTCTCTCTTTCATTGGCTCAGGCCATCATGATGTCAGCGGTCTCCAGGCCTCGAGGCAGACTTTAGTCTGGCTCAAGAGGAGGTTGACTGGCCTGAAGCTAGTTGTTAACCTCCTTCTATACAACACTGTGTAGACAAACACACCTCCTCTAGAGGTGTGAGCCCCACACAGGAGGCATACAACAGGCAGGGACTGTGACCATTAGCCAAGTTCCATCCAGGAGGAGCTTGGGAAAAACAAAAAAGTAAACACATCTGTAGATCCTCTTGGTCCACACAAATAAAGGTACATATTTCATATTCTTCCCTAGCCAATCTGAGTGAATTGGAAATTCACACTATGTGATTGGCAACTGAAACTTTAATTATTAACTGTCTCTCCTTGTAATTTCACTCATTAGGAAAATAAGAAAAAAAATCTGCTTGAATGCTTTTCTCAAATCTCCCAGGGTACTATTGGTACTTGCTGTCATTTGAACTGGGCCAGAATGTAGCCCAGTTTCACTACTCTGTTGACCATTCATCTCTATTATGGAATTTTCAGACAGTATGACAGAATGTGCAATGGGCATGAGAACCCTATGACAGATTACCTTGATTATTTTATTTTGTTATATTTCATTATAAAGGAAGAACCATCTTTCTTTACACATAGTTCTTTATTGATTTTTGGGGGGATTTCCAACCCATATCACTTCCCAGTCCCTCCTTATCTGCCCCTCACTTCTGTAGCATCCCCTACAAAAGATACCAGCCAAATTAATTAAAAACAAACAGAAACCATTTGCCTCTCCCTCTTTCCCATCTCTCTAATACCACTTCATTTGACATAGCAGCTTTGGAAGATGTGGTGTGTCCCACCCTTTTGTCTAATGGACTTGAAAATGTCCATTGCAATGAGCCATTGGTCCAGTTCAAGGCCTCTGGCACACCATCATCACTGCACCCTCACAGAAACTCCTCTTGCTTATCCTGCCATTCCCTGAGTCTTGGAGAACCTGTGGCTATTTCTCTGCAGGACCGGTCCCTTCACATGCTCCAGCAGGTAGATGTAAGGGTAGGCCAACCCAAGGCTCACTGTCTCGGTCTGGGTGGTAGCTGAGCTCCTCAACAGGGGCTGCTAGGACCACCCCCCTCAGGAAAGGTGTGAAGCCAGCTCTCCTAGGCCCATGTCATCGGGGATAGCTCTCCCATTCCCATAGTGTGGGGTAGAGCCATCTCTTCTCAGTGCAGAAGTCAGCTCTTCCATTAGAAGTGGTACCAGAACTCCTGCTGCAGTGTCAAACAAGGGGTAGGGCCAGTCACTCAAGGGACCAGCTCAGCAAATCCCTTGGATTTCAACATGCATGGTTCCTATGACACCCCTCCACCCCGTGATAAACTGGCCATGGACATCAACACATGGGTCTATAAGCAGCTTGAGCCCATATGTCACCATGGCCCCAGTGGCAGAACAGGCCACCCAGACCAGCATTGTCCAGGTGGCAGAATGGACACCAACATGGTCTCAGATAGCTGACCAGCCCTTAGGCAGCTGCACAGCCCTCAGTGGTAACAGGAGACACAGACATCAACTCAGACACTGGCTGCTGTAGGACATGGCCCTTGGCAGCACTGGTGACACCATGACTCTGTGTGGCAATGCAGGGCACTCAGATTGGCATGGCTTGGGGGCAGCAGGGCCCACAGACACCAATATAGCCACAGGTTGAGGCATAGACCCTGGGCATGCATATGGCTTTTGGTGGCCATATGGGACATGAATGTCAACACTGACCCTGGCTATAGTAGGAACACAGATACAGACATGGGCCTAGGCAGCAGCCTGGTCCCTGATGTCACTGTGGCCCTGGGTGACAATCAGGCCACCCATATCAGCCTGTTCCTCACTGCCTTCACCTCCTCAGCTCTGCCTCTCTCAACAGCACATCAACCACTCCACGTCTCTTTCTTTCCCATTTCTCCACAATACATTTGCTCATCATAATGGCGTATACAAGCCCAGTGCCTTCAGCCAATCTGAACTGTGAGGACTCAGAATGGCCTGTGAGTGTCTTTGGCCTGTCTGAGCTGAGTGGCACCAAGTGGGCCTGTGCTGCCTTCAGCCAGCCTGGATGTACTGTTGAAGAACCATCTTAATGTGAGGCAGGACCCTGCTCCCAAGACAGAAGATTCTGGACTGCATGGGGTGGGTAAGTAAGGATAGTGAAACATGAATATTCTTCATCCATCTCTGCTTCCTATGTTTGCAACTGGACCAGCTTTCTCAGGCCCCTACCACTGTGATTTCCCTACCAGGTAAGTTCAGTAAAACCTTGAACTGTGAGCTAAAAGAAACTCTTTTTGCCTTACATTGCTTTGGCCAGGGTATTTTGTCATAACAGAAAAGAAACTCAGGCATACACCACTCTTGGTTAAAGCCCCTATGTAATTTCCATGTTTACAGCTTTCCCACCAGAAAGAGGAGAGATGCGTGCATGTGAGTTCAATATTGGAATTCTCCAGAAAAACAGATGCAGTAAATCAAGGCCCATGTCCTCTTACAACTGTTGATGTGCACATCTTATTGACATTAGTCAATTCTGTGTGTTTGTCCCAAATGTCTGACAAAACAACATAAGGGAGGAATGTCTGCTTTGTCTCAGAATGTCAGTAAATTGCAGGCCATCATTCCAGAGGTTACAGGTGGCAGAATCAGTGGGGTCCATCAAGTCAGAAGGCTGTCTGTAAGAAAGCAGAGAAGAAGCAGATAGAACTAGATGACAAGAGGTAGGCAATTCAAAGTCCTACTCTCAAGACCTACCAACAGTCCCCAGCCCCCAGACTCCACACCATTAAATAGAGGAGCCTACAGAACACATTTCAGATTCCAACCATAATACTCTTGTATTGTGAAAACCTGGACATCCATGGAGGAATTAATGTTGCAACTTGTGTCCAAACAGCCTGGAGCAAGAACTCTCTCTTCTTTGGTGCTATTGGATCTTCCTCAATGTCTTGGCTGATATAATTCACAATATGGGAGTTTGTCCACTGTACCTCCTCAGTCGAAATTTAGTATCATCAGAAAGACAGCTTCAGGTCACCTCTACCTAATGGTGAGTACATCTGGGTAGTACAACCTGGTCAAGTTGCCATGTAAAATTCATCTTCCCAATCCCCATGATTATCCTATTTCTTTTTATTCCAGCCTTTATATACATGTGTATATAAAGATATGTATATATGAAGTTATAAATGTGTATATGTGTGTACATATGTGTGTGTGTCTGTAGAGAGAGAGAGCTGTATTTTCATGAGGTATAGTATGACAACTTGACATAGACATGCAACACAAAATGACCAAATCTAGGTAGTTATACTTTCCATATCCTTAATAATTTTGTAAGTACTTTGATTCATAGGTACTATGATCATATCAAGGAGGACATTTTGATACATGCATACAATGCATACTATATTAGTTTCTTCTCCTGAAGCTACCGTGGAGAATGGGTTTATTTCAGGTTGTGGTTCAGAGGTACTGCCCATGGCAGGGAAGTCATGGCAACAGGCCATGTCACATCCAAAATCAGAGACTGCAGAGAGCACTGAATGCATGTATGCTAATTCCCAGCTCCTTCCTTCACTTGTTACAGTCCAGGATCTCCTTCCATGCACGAATGACATAATCAAGGTAACCCCCAGCAGGGATGCTCAGAGCTGGCTCTCCCAGGAGACTCTAGATTTTGTCAAGTTAACAATTTACAACAGTCGTCACATGAACTAACCAGAGCAGGTTTCTTTTATTACCACTGTAGTACTGGCACTTTGTCATTGGTGTGTTTGGGCTCCTCCATTTTGCCTATTTCATAAAATGTGTAAAAGATTATTTTAAGCTAGTTACTCTAATGTGCTCTGGCACCTAGACTTTATGCCTTCCAACCTCCCTGTTAGGTACCTGTTAACCAAACTCTCTCTGGCCCTCTACCCTCTTTCCAGCCTTTACTAAACACTTTTCTACATTCAGTTCAACCATAGACACACATGAGAGAAACAAACATTGATACCTCCTCTCTTTCTCATTTTCCTTCATGACACTGTCTGCTAAACAGCCTGGTCCTGAAGGGCACTCACCTGCCTCTGTGTCCTGCTGCAGAGGCTCCCATACCTACACTGTGGCTTGAAGATGAACATGAGCATGGGGACAAATGTGCCCTCCCACCTCCCTGATATACACACCCCTGCCTTGGTGTATAAAACACCAGTACCCAACATTAGCTCAGCCTATAATCTATTTCTGTGTGTCTCAATTCTTCTGATCACAGAGGAAAGCTGTTGGAGCCATGCTACAGGAAGAAATTTTCAACAGTTGGCATGGCCTTTGAAGGGGTTCTAGCCAGCCCTAGCATGGCATACACATCTCTGGCAGGTCTCGACCTTCTCTTCCATTCCATCTGCCTTGCTAAAAACCATTAGGTTATATCCCTAAAGCTAGACACCAAGGTCTAGTTCCTTATTTTGCCACTTCCTCCTCTTGAGGCTACCAAGGTCCAGCTATCAAAGTATTGAAATCCAGCAATCAAAAGCCCCCTTTGGCTCACTTAATTAACATGCCGAATTAAAATTAAACACCTCATCCTAACCCAGGGTTTCCAGCTCTACCTTTATAAACTACCTTTTGAGTATGGCCCACATCTATCTCCTCTTTATCCTTTGTCCCCCTCCAAGACAAATTTCCCCCCTCCCTTGTTCCTCTCCCCTTCTCCTTTGTCCTCTATCCCCTGTCTTTGTCCCTTATCCCTGTTCCCTGTCCCTCTGGTGCAAGTTAATCTTTGTGCTGAGAACATGGTCTTGGGATGTCCTGAGTCAATACCAACCCCTTTCAGCCTGCCCTTGATGGAGTCTATCTTTGGGAATGGGAGTCGTTCTGTCCTATCTACAGGAAAGTGCATTACAAGTACATGACACTGCCCATTGATGACAAAAATAAACTTCTGCCTACTGAGACCATGACATTTTAGTCCCCAGAGGTTAGGCTTTATTTATTGCATTGACAGGTTAGAATGGCTGGGTGAGTAGAGACTAGGAGAGGGGCTCTGTCTCTGATTGTCTGGAGACACAGCTGTCCCTTCTCCCTACTATACACACATCCTGTCACATTCTTAGTGATGCCCTGTCCAAGTCCTGACTATAAACTCCTCCTTGGTTTCACTGTGGGAGTCACAACACAATTCTAGGAGTTGAGGAACTGGGGTAGATCAGCTGACTTCATCAAACCTGCAGCCCTGGCTCATATTTCCATGCCAATGCATCCTGAGATGAGGACACAGGAGACAGGAGAGCAGCCACCTTTGTCGGTGGATAGCAGGGCACTGAGGAAATATATTCCTTTAGAGCCTTGATATCACAGTCAGAGGGACAAGGAAAGAGGGAGTCAAGGTCACACGTGGGAACAGAGTCTGCTGGAAACCCAGTCTGCTCACCTCCAAGCTAAGACACCTCCGCTGTCTCTAAGAGGAACATGGGGTCCTTTCTTTAGTTACAAAGGAAACTGTAGGAGACCATCAACCTGGAACAACAAAAGGTACAAAGCACTGTACCTGATGCATATATATGCATGTGGGTGTGTTTGCATGTGTGTCTGAGTGTGTGTTTGTACAGGGGTCAGCCTACATGTATATGTGTTTGTGTAACTGATGACCCAGTACTTGTAGCTACATACTAATTAACGGGACTCTAGCCCACTTGAACATGTGGCTCTGGCAGGCCTTGCCCTTCTCCCTAGTTCCCTCTGCCTTGCTGAAAACCATTAGATTACATCTATAAGCAAACCACCAAGGTCTATTCCCTCATTTGGCCACTCCTCCTCCTCCTGAGGTTGGCTATCAGGGTCCAGGATTCAAAGTATTAAAGTCTAGCAATCAAAAGGCCCCTTTGGCTCACCTAATTAACATGCCAGATCAAAATATAGTACATCATCCTGCCCACTCTAACACAGCCCTCCCTCTTTCTGTTCTTAAAATTTACACCTGCAGAGTCATTTGCTGCCAATTTTCTGCCTGGGTGAGAAAGCTGCTACTTTAACTGTTCTTCTCCCACTGTGCTGGGGTGTGTGTTGGGGGGTGTCACTGTATTATGGGAGTCTCCACTAACCTCTACAGTTAACAGTCAGGTCAGGTCTAAAGATCATAGGTTCAGCAGGTTCTTGGAATGGTGAAATACTGTGGTAAATGACTAATGATCAAATCCTTACAGAGACAACACTGTTGAACACGGGAGTGAGAAGACAACATGAAAACACTCCTCAAATACTGCAGAACTCAAGAAAGTAAAGTGACCAACACTTGCCATGTGCATTTTGCAATGCCTGACTCCACCCAGCACTGAGTTGGGTAGGGTCACAAATGAGTCATCCCACAGCCATCCTGTGTTTTAAAACCACCCCACTTCCTGTTATTCTCCTAAGAGCAGAAATATAGAAATATGTACAGACCTTTCAAAACGGTACTTCTGAAAGCCCATGTAAATCGTGAGTGTCACTTTTTCTACCTTCTATTAAGACAGTGAAAAACTCAGAATTGGAGAGATTATGAAAGATGTGTGTCAATGTGAATCAGTTTCAGTGATTTATGACATGACACAAAGACTTATGGGTAATGTCATTGTGATGGAAAAGTTAATAACTAAAAGATATAAAATTAGGGCTTATGGTAAGAAGGGAAAACTAGAGAGAACAAGAATTTCTACCAGTAGATGACTCCCTGACTACAGAGTACAGAGCCCACATGCTGTTCTCAGGAGATAAAGAAGAAAGCTAGAGCCCACCACCAGCATCTTTCCTGCCCCATATCTTGAGAACAAGGCCACTGAGCCTTCTGACTTTGTAAAAAAAAAAAAAAACTTTGTACTCTGTAAAACATCTGGAAACCTTATGAACTAAGACTAGTGGTCTCAAGCCTCCCTTTCCCTTTTCAAAATGCTTCGCAATTGTAAGCAAGCACCTTGCTCTTCTGATAGAGTGAGGTCCCAGCTGGTTTGGATCCAATTTTTATTGGAAGCAATAAAAATTTTTTGCTTCTGCTGTCGGAAGTCACTTCCTTGGAGGTTGAGGAAACTCAGTAGGCACAAGAGTTATCACAATTTGTTTAAAAAAGACGATAAAAGGTGGCCAGAGTCGTTGCTCAGTATGGGTAGGTGTCACAATTATTACTCTTTAGGTAGAGGATTTCTGGGACCAGAGACTGACCCTCACCCCTTGATTGGTGAATGGGAAGAAGTCAGGCATTGGGAGTACAGGGGGTGTTAGAGCCTGAAAGAGAGGAGACTGGGTATCTAGCTTCATAGAAATCTGAATAGATTCCATGGATGTGGACCAAAGTTTTTGGTGAAGGAGAAGAAAGGATTGTATGGGATGGAGGATGCTGAACAAGTTAGGGTTTACTTCTGAAAGCCCATGAGCCCTAGAGTGACATAAATTCTATCATGAGTGAGCAAAGGGAGTGTGGATAATAGCACAGTGGGTTCTATGTGACAATTTTTTTGTGGGGGAACACAATACATGGGTCTACTCAGCCCAGATAGGGAGCCCATAACAGACCGAGGCCCAGAGTGAAGGAACTCTGGCCAGCTCTGGCAGACCTTATCCTTTTCCCCCATTTCCCCAGCCTTACTAAAAACCATTAGATTACATTCCTAAAGCTGGCCACTTCCTCCTCCTGAGGCTGACCACAAAGTCCAGTAATCAAAAAGCCTGATTTAGCTCACCTAATTAAGATGCCCAGTTAAAATTAAACACCTCATCCTAACATGGGGTTTCCCGTTTTACCTTTATAAACCTCCATTTGCCTATGTTCCGCATCAGCCTCCCCTCTATCCTGAGCAGTCCTTTGTCCCTCCAGGAAAATACCCCTGCCCCCTTTCCCTTGTTGCCTTCCCCTTCTCCCTCACTCTTTATCTCCTGTCTTTGTCTCTTACTCCTGCCCTCTGTCCCTCTGGGACAAACAAATTTCCTTTGTGCTGAGAACTTGGTCTTGGGGGTCTTGAGCAGATATGTTTCCTTTCACAGATAACCACCAAAGTCCAACTTGGTGAGCTAATGAATTTTATTGGGCTACTTACTGGAATATGTGTGAGGGGTTACTTACAGGAGCAGGAAATACTCAAAGACAGCTGCATGTCCAAAGCCCACCCCTACAAAAGTAACAGCTCTCTCTCTCAAAAAGCAGGAAACATGGAGCAACTCAACAGGTTGGAGAGTACCCTTTCCAAATGACTCTGGTCTAACCCTCTTCCAGGAACTTGATTGGTTTCTACTTATTCCAGGGAGCTGGTCTGCTCTCAGAGTTTTCTTGTGCCTCACCTTGGTTCATTGGAGAGGGACTCTAGGCTTTTTTTTTTTTTTTTTTTTTATTTTAAACTAAAAGGTTTAATTCGCTTTTAAATTGAATCTTTTTTTTAACTTGCAACATTTATTTTAAAAGAAAATATTACTAAAAAAAGAAGCATCACAAATAGAAAGATGCTTTTATTGCTTATTCTGGCTGGGAAGGGCCTAGCAAATCTAGTCAGTTTCAGGAACTTCCTGGAGGTATTTTGAATTGTTTATCTCTCTGTCTAAAGAGCTTCTCTGCAAGATGGAATGTTTCATTCTCGAGAAAGCTGTTACATAACAGTGGGTCACATTGGTCCAAGCCTCTGGGCAATATGGAGACCTCAGTAGGTGGAGCTTGTGCTGAGGACCCTCAAGTAGTGCTTATTTCAGGGATCCTGGGTTCTATGTGCCCATGCCTGAGCTCTCTCTCTCTCTCTCTCTCTCTCTCTCTCTCTCTCTCTCTCTCTCTCTCTCTCTCTCTCCCTCCCTTCTCTCTCTCTCCCTCCTCTCTCTCTCTCCCTCTCTTCCTCCTCCTCTCTCTCCTGTGTGTATGTGCATGCACATGCAAGCACATGTGTGTTGAAGGGTTCAGAAATAGGAATATAGAAATGAAAGGTCCAGAAATATAGAAATATAAAATTATAAGCCCAAACATGTTTTGAAAAAAAACTAACAGCCACTGTTAACCTTTAACAACCACTTTCTGCCTTAAGAGCAGACATCCTGGCAGTCACTGTGTACAGAGGTAAACCTTTAACAACTGTCTCCCACCTCCTAGCTTTCCAGCTAGGCAGGTACTGCAGGCAAAGATTAGCTTCTAACTGTTGCCTCTATGGGACCCTCTGTGCTGCATTCCCTTCATTTTTGACTGTCCTCCTATATGACTCTATTCTCTGCCTTGCATTCTTTCAGGGACAGGGAAAAGTGGCTGTGTCAGCAACAGTTTAGCAAACATCCCAAGTTAACGTCTTATAACCAAAAGTGGTAAAACTTAAAATGTAATGTGACTCTAAGCCTGACCTCAAGGTTGAAAAAGTTCTTTGACTCCCACCTGGTGCTTGGTTTTACTAAAAAAAAAAAAAAAAAAAAAAGGAAGGAAGGAAAGAAAGAAAGAAAACAAGATAAAAAGAGGCCCAAAGCCAGCCCCCATTGCCACAATTTAGAAACCCAGTCTCTGGCTGTGGTCTCAGCCCCTCAGCGACTTTTTTTTTTCTCTCTCTCTCTCTTTTTCTGGAATAAAGCTTGTTTCTGTTTCAGACGTTGGTGGTCTGTTCCTCTGTTATTTCCACCCCCCAAACCAACTGTATCAGGAAATTGTCCATCTTGAGCCAGCTGACAGTGTACATTCAAAGTAGGAGCCACTTCTTCAAGGCTTATGCAAGCTAAAAACAATGTTGTTTTTACAAGCACAATACATTTAGCCTCTAAGCATAATGTTCACCATCACAGTGGGAATTTCCATGAAGGCTAGGGCGATAATCTGTTTCTGGAGCTCACTTGCCAGGCAGCATTGCCTAACTGGTGAAGTTCGAGCCAGTGAGAGTGTCTGTCTCAAAATAAGGAGAATGGTATCCGAGTGACAACAGCGCCTACAAACACATGTCCACCTACATTAACCATTAGATAAGAGAAAGAAAATCAACAGGACAGCAACACGTGTCTGCAAGCATTGAACCCTGAGGTCCCTGGGTCTGAAAGTCAATACAGCCCAGCAATAGATGCCATCATCTGAGCAGGCGGCCTTGAGGTGGGGAAGCAGAATAGTCAGTGCTGGGCAACACCCGCTGACACTGAACTAGGCTACCATGGTAACAGCAATCAGGAAGCCCTGACTTTGGACTTGGGCTGCTTCAGCAGAGCTCCACCAACCTCTCTGAAGGAGGATGTGAAACCTAGCCTGCTGGTTGAAAGAATAGAAACTAAACCCTACCCTCATTGCAGGCCCTCCCTTTAGGGACCCAGCAAGCAGGGTTCAGATCTAGGAAGTGCAGAGCAGAGGGCATGATCTGGAAGGAAATCCAGACAGATCAGCATTTTCTTCCTAGCTGTTCTGCTCTCCTACAAACCAGAAACCCAGTATACTTGCATCCCATCCGGTCCTGAACATTCCAGCTTAGACGATTCCCTGGGACCTTGCTCCCAAGAAGAGGGCCACTCACATCATCGCCCAGGAGCAGGTATGTGAAGGATTTCTAAGTGCAGCTTGACCAAAAATCCTGCTGACTTATGACATGGAAGGTGAATTCCTGGTACCAGGGCAAATGAGTTCGTATTCTGGTTTATTTCACTCAGGGATTGTTCTCAGTAGGGCCCTTTTCTGTCTTCTGCATCACAGAGCACCCCAGCCCACCAGCCAGGCACCAACAAACTTTTCTACCACCTGCACATTCCTCGGTCTGTTGCTCTTCTAATGAGAGGTTAATCTTGGAAAAGGAGGGAAGGCTGCATGACCAGATTCCTCAGCACTGTTTGGGGGTGGGTTTTTGTCCTTGTAGCTATTTGTTGTTTTTACTGGTTTGTTTTGGTTTTTTGTTTTGTTTTGTTTTCTGTTTCAGACTTGATCACTCTGTGTGCCTCTGGCTTGTCTAGAATATGAACTTTAAACTTAAGGAGATCCAATTACCTCTGTTTGGTAATGCTGAGATTAAAGGTGTGTCCCACCACAGCCTGCTATACTGTAACTATTTTATTTACCCTATTGGGGGGGGGGGGTTCGAGACAAGGTTTCTTTGTAATTTTGAAGCCTACCCTGGAACTAGCTCTTGTAGACCAGGCTGGTCTGGAACTCACAGAGGCCTGCCCATTGCTGGGATCCTTGGCCTCCCTCCTGAGTGCTGGGATCAAAGGCAGGTACCACCACCTCTCGGCACTCTTGCAATAATTGCTTTATTGAGGTTGGGGTTTTTCAAACACTTCAGAAAATGTGCCATGCTCAGTAATGACCTGAGGACCATGCAGAATTATATACTGTTTTCTGTAATAAATCAGCACATGAATTTTTCTCTCAAATTTTCCATATGGTGGTCAAATAATACCAGGATTTTTTTTCTTTAAGATATCAAAATTCATTTTTTGTAATTTAATAGTTTTTTGAAAACTTCACCCATGAACACTGAATCCACCTCACTCCACCAGGCTCCCTCTTTCCTCACTTCAATTCTCCCCATCCCTCGATTATATATTCTTTAATTATTATCATAACATGTACATATGTAATGGCAGGAACTTTACCCACATTCAAAAGTCCTTGATGTTTCCGATATATATCAAGGCTAGGCTGGTTTTTATATCTCTGAGCCCTGTGATGGAAGTTCAGATTAGTTACATAAAACAAGAACCATATAGAAACCACAGAAAAGCTTGAACCTTCTTCCAGAAACCGATAAAAGCAGATGCAGAAATCCACAACTCACCACTGAGCCAAGCTCCTGGAGTATATTTAAAGTGAGGGAGGAGCCATAATATGAACAAAGGAGCCAAGACCATGACGGGAAACCCACAGAATCAGCTGACCTGAGCTAATGAGAGATCACTGACTCAGGTCTGACCAATGAGGAACCTGCATAAGAGTGAATTAGACTCCCTTAATATAAGTGACTGGGACAATATGTGAGGTCACTGGCAGTGGGTCCAAGATCTAACTCTAATGCACAAGCTAACTTAGTGGAGCCCATTCTATATGGAGAAATGCCTTGCTCAGCCTAGACACAGGGGCTTGGGGGGGGTGGGGTGGAGAGGTGCCTTGGTCCTGCCTCAATGAGATGATGGGACAGACTTAGACTCCCTAGGGGAGGTCTCACCCTCTCCATGGAGCAGATGGGAGGAAGGGGAGAGTGGGGGAGAGGGAGGAGAGGAGGGAAGGGAAACTGGGATTGGAATGTAAAAAGTAAATTAATTTTTAAAAAGTGAAAAAAAAAAAAAAGAGAGAACCATATTAGAGCCTAACATAGGAAATCTATTCATGAATGCCTTTCATTTTGTATCAACTCCTTTGTTTATGGGGTAAGGTATAACCACATTTGTTAAAGTTGACCAAATGGAAGGTAATATAATTTTTACAATTCATTGAACAACAATACAGAAGACCAAAATGCACAACAGAGTAGTTGAAAGAAGAAATTCTTTCTTATACTACTGTTCTAAGAGTGAGCAAGCACTTGGGCCCTGTGTCAGATGGATTTCTCACTGCTGGCATCAGTGGAAAGCTGCAAAGATGCTGCTCACAGAGACTGCTCACTTCCACTTTGTATGCTGCAGCTTTCCCAATTGTCCCTAAGTGGTACTGTCTCTCCCTGTTGAATCACTCGAATGGAATCCTTGATTGCCACCCACTCTTTCTTCCTCCCTTCTGAACTGGAACTCTTTGTTCCAGCACAGGTCTACTAGCAGTTCTCAAGATGCCCTTCAGTGCCTCATCTTTATGTCCATGCTCAAGCTCCTCTTTACCCCACCCCCTTTCCCATTCGCCCACTCCACACATCATTTATCGCCTTGCTTAGAAATCACTTCCTTTTGAAAATCTTCCATGACAAATGAGACCGGACCATGGGATTTTATTCTGTGCTTCCCAGCAATCACACCAATACTCTGGTTGGGATGGGAGCATTTGTGAGTCCAGCCAAGTGGCAAATTCTGAGCATCAGAGCCTCTGTGTGAATGTTTTGAATTTAGTGACAGGTCAGTCCTGAGAAATGGCAGCCATTTAGAAGTGAAGATGGTGTAAAAACTACTAGGAGCTAACAAAGATGTTTTTGTTACTGTGGTTTGGTAACAAAAGTTAAAATCAAGTACAGAGGTGTCTTCAGCATTTTCCCTGCCTTAGGATTGCTTTGTCTGTGTGAGAGCTTTTGTACTTTCAAACTGAACTTTAAGATTTTTTTTCCCTAAGCCTGGTGGTGGTAGCACTAGGGAAGCAGAGGCAGGTGGGTCCCTGTTTGTTGGAGAACAGCCAGGTCTGCAGAGCTAGTTCCAGAACAGCTAGAGCTGTGACACAGGATTTTTTTTCCTGCTTCTGTGAATGATGGTATTAGAATTTTGATGGTAACTACATTGAATCTGTAGATTGATTTTGTTAAGAAACCCATTTTCACAACATGAATTCTTCCAATCATTTAGCATGACAAGTTTGTTTGTTTGTTTTAATCTTTTATTGCTCCTTCTTTTTTCTTGAAGGTTTTAAAGTTAATTATAGAGGGTTTTTCTTCCCTTGATTAGCCTTATTCCAAGGTATGTTGTTGAGGAGAAAGTGCTGACTAGTGTAAATGAAACTGGCTCACTGATTTCTTCTTTGACATGTTTGCCATTAATATACATGTAGGCTACCAAGATTTGTATGTTGATTTTTAATTCTGTTACTTTGCTGAAAGTAACTCCAAGGGACTTCCAAGGAGTCTTTAGGGTCTCTTATGTATATAATTAATATATTATCTTTGACGTCTCCCTTTCCTAGTTATATGTTTTTATTGTTTCTTGGGTTTTATTGTCCTAGCTAAGACTTCTATTACTGAATTGGTAAGAGAGGAGAAAAAGTGGAAATCCTTTTCTTGTTCCTGTGCTTAGTGCATTGACTTTGAGGTTTTCCCATTTGGTGTAGTGTTGACTGCATGTACCGCCTTTATTTTGTTGAAATATATTTGCTCCATTCCCAGTTTTCTTCAGGATTTTATCATGAAGGGATGTAGCACCCGTGCTATAATCTGTTCCACTAATTGGGCAAAGGCCTAGAGATTTAAATATGAGACAAGACAGTGGGTCATTCACAACAGGAATGCAGAATGCTGTTTATCGAGGGGAAGGAACGGCCTTATATAGTGACTCACAGCACAGTGGAAAACAATCCAGGGTCAAGAGTGCAAGTTCTCTGGCTTAGTTCCTCCCCAGCAGATGTGTGTTAGCAAATCAGGAAAAGAACCAATAACAACTCTGGGGCAAGATGCTCCAGCTGAGACTGCAGAATGTTCCAGCCAACAGCTCAAGCTTGCTCAAGGCATCTCGGGCGTCCATGCAGGACCCAACAGTGTTTGATTATGTCAGACCCTAAGGCTTCTAGGAGAATTGTCCCCAGGCTGAGCTGTAAGCCCTCCCTCCGGGATCCCCTGCACATCCCCATCACCTAAAGCCTACCTGACTCTCCCATATAGACAGAGTTTCTGTTCCTCCTAGTCCCATAGCTATTTAGCCCCCAATAAAAACACTGCTTATGTTAATACAAACTGTTTTGGCTGATGGCTCCGGCTTCTTTTGGGCTAGCGCTCTCCTAATTATTAATCAGTTTCTATTAATCTAAGTATTTCCACATGGTTTTATCTTACTGGAATATCTTGCTCCCTCAACAGCTACATGGTGTCTCCCTTGCATCCTCTCTCTCCCCTGAATTCTGCTTCTCTGATAGCCACCCCCCATACTTCCTGCTGGGCTACTGGCCAATCAGTGTTTTATTCATCAATCAATAAGAAAAACATATACAGAAGGGCGTCCCTCATCACCCCCATGAACATGAACTTAGAATCCAAGTCTGGCTGAACACCTAACATCTCCCTATTTTCTTATTTTCTTATAAAAGTGACATCATATACCACCCAGTTGTCCTGGACCAGCTCTATATAAGGCTCATATGTTTACATTTGAGATGCCCAGAACACAGAAACAGTTCTGTTTTACTAGAATTAAGAGGAGGAGACAAGAGACTTTATCTGCAGATGATGTTCTGAAACCTGTTTCTATAATGTGACTATTAAGATCCTCAGATACTGACCATATGTGGTTGTTTGAAAGAAAATGGTCCCCAAAGGTGGCACTATTAAGAGATGTGGCCTCATTGGAGAAAGTGTGTCACTGTGGGGGAAGGGGGATTTGAGGTCTTTTTCTCAAGCTTCTTTCAGTGTGATAGTCAGTTGACTTCCTGTTGCCTGCAAGATGTAGCAAGCTCAGCTCCAGCACCATATCCGCCTGCACACTGCTCTGCTCCCATCCTGATGATAATGGTCTGAAACTTCTGAAACTGTAAGCAACCACCACCCCCCCAATTAGATGTTTTCTTTGTAAGTGTTGCCATAATCACGGCGCCTCTTCACAGCAACAGTGAACCCTAACCATGACACCATCAATTTTACCTTTCCCTCGCCTAGGATGATATAGGTAGAATTTTCTCATTTCTGGGGAGCTTTGGTCAGGTTTCTCTGGGAGAGCAGAACTGCTAGCATGAATCTCTATTAAAAGGGAATTTAGTGGAGTGGCTAACTAGCCATGATCTGACTAGCCAATAGTCAATGTCTCTTGAATGAAAGACCAAAAATCCAGTAATTATTCCATCCATGGAGCTGAATGTCACAACTGGTCTTCAGTATACATTGAAACCCTTAAAGAAGTGGGTTCTAATACCAGCAAAGGAATGCCTCAGCAGCAGAATGGATGGACTTGCCAGTGAGATCGAGAGAAAGCAAGCAAAGAACAAAAGCTTCCTTCTTCCATGTCCTTTTATGTGAGCTGCCACCAGAAGATGTAGCCCAGATTTAGAATAGATCTTCCCATCTTGAACTAGCTAGTCAAGAAAAACACACAGGTGTGCCCAGCTGCTAGGGTTTTAGTTAATTCCAGATGTAGTCTTGTTGACAATCAAGATGAGCCATCACAGAGGTATATTAAAAGACAAAACTACAACACTTACTTAGTTATTTCATCACCGAGTCTCCCAGGGACTGTACCATTAGAAAAATAATACCGAAAGATTTGGGCAGGGGGTCCTCTGCATAACAGCCCTTGCTGTCCTGAAACTCACTCTGTAGTCCAGGCTGGCCTTGAATTCACAGAGATACATATGCCTCTGTCTCTCACGTACTGTGATTAAATGCCTGTGCTACCACCGCTCAGCTGATACTGAAAAATCTTAACCAGCTAAGTCTTTTTATTCTATTTTAATCGCCGAGTTTCATCATACCTTCTTCATACATATGTGTCGATGTATTCTGTTCTCGTCTGTACTCCTCCCTTTTGTACTCCAGCTGCTTCATTTCCTTCCAGTTAGTCCTTGCTTCTGCTTCCCTGTTACATATAACCCCACTGCTTGATTTTCCACCTCCCTTAGTACCTCTCCAGCCTTCCCTGATCCCTTTTCGAGACTGGGGATCTGAAAACCACAGGTATGGGTACACACGCTTTTAAGGTTAGGCTCAGCCTGTAAAAGAAAAGAATATTTGTCTTTCTGAATTCTGGGTTCTCTTCTCTGAATAGTGACTTCCAGTTATACTTTTCTGAAAATGTCATGCTTTCATTTTTCTTCCCAGCTGCACAGAATCCTGTTGCCTCTATGTCATGTTTTCTTTGTTCATTCATCTGTGTATGGATATCTACACTGACTTGATGCCATGGATATATATGCTTGCACCTCTGTGGACTATTGACTAAGAGTCCATCAGGTTGAACTGAATGGTATTGCTGGACCAGCAAATAACTTTCTTGAGAAAATTCATATTTATTTCTGTAGAAGCTGCACCAACTTCTGACAGTGAATATGGGTCCTCGTTTCTGCAATTTGTTGTTGTTGTTAATTGGCTTCTTGATGGTAGCCATTCTGACTTCATTCAGATGGAATATCAAAGCAGTTTTAATTTGCCCTTCTCTGATAGCTCAGGCTATTGAAAACATTTTCAAACATTTATTGACCATTTTATTTAGTCTCTTGATGACTGTCTCTACAGCTCATTGGACCACTGAATTATTTGAATGTTTACTCTTTCAGGATTTTTTTTTACCTTGTCAAAACACTCTACCACCGCTTCCCCCGGTTCTTACATCGCTCTGTCACGGCACTTAGCCTTGCAGGGGGAGAAGGGGGTTGGGGGTTGATATAGACGCCCCATCCTATTTATGGCTGAGCATTCAACATCACTTATTCTTAACTCTTTGACCATTGTGAATTACTTTACATTTACTCCTACTCACTATAAAGAGCGGCTTCTCTGACCAAGGTGGATGATAGTACTAATTCACAGATACAAACACAAATATTTAGGTAGCAAATTAATGGGTATATCATGGCCATTTCATAAAACAACATTGGCAGCTTCCTTCACCTGAGCCTATGACCACCACAGCCACATGGTTTTGATTGCCAGAACAAAGGGTTTTCAGCACCAAAGGGTAAAAAGGACCTCTTAGATGTAAAAAGTCAGCGGAAAATCCAAAAGAGACACACCAAGGGTGCCCGCATCCTTAAGACCACTTCTTCTGACCATGAGTTGTGCTCTCCAGTTGAATTTGAATAATTACCATTCATGTCAATTATTCAAGTAAACTGAAAACCCATTTACATGTCATAATATGACCTTATTTGAAGAGACTGACAGAGCTTTGAAACTGGGTAATTTCTTTTCCAAACAAAGGTCTTGCTACTGTAGCCCAGGTGGACCTCAAACCTGTGATCCACAGCACAGCCTCCTTAGTGCTGGTGTTGAGGTCTGAATTTGACCTTGAAGAATGAAAAGTGCTTTAAAGAGGAAAATGGTCAAGGGTAGAGGAGTCTGAGCCAAGGCACAATTTGCATCCAGGACAGGAGAAAATGCAGTCGAGTCCTGAGCATTTGATTAAGAGGGGGAAAGACCCCATTTGTAGTGTGGGGTGGTTACAGGGGCTCTGCTTTTCCATTTGCTTGCTCTTTCTGAACCTTTTTTTTTTTAACCTTCCTGGCTCTTTCCTCCCTTTAGTGCCATCAACTGCTGCCAGTCATGGGTCAGACCTCCTCTTCTACACCCCCCCAGGGCAAGGATCCTGATTCGACCTCCAGCCTTGGTTCAAATCTTCACAATTTCAAGATGGAAACCAAAATCCTGTCTCAGGAATTAACCGCCTTGATTGAATCATACCTAGAGGACGGAAACCTTCAGGGAGCAGTATCTGCAATCAGCAATGCTCTGACTGACATTGAGAAAGCCCCACTGAACATTGCAGTGGTGGGGGAGATTGGGGCTGGAAAATCCAGTCTCATCAATGCTCTACGGGGGGTGGGGCCTGATGAAGAGGGTGCAGCTGCTTCCACTGGAGTGATATGTACAACCACTGAGAGAATACCATACCCATACTCAAAACTCCCTAGTGTGACTCTATGGGACCTGCCTGGCATTGGGTCCACTGCCTTCCAACCACATGATTATCTGAAGAAAATCAAGTTTGAGGAGTATGACTTCTTCATTATTGTCTCTTCTGGACGCTTTAAACATAATGACGCAGAACTAGCCAAAGCCATTGTGCAAGTGAATAGGAGTTTCTATTTTGTTCGGACCAACACAGAACAAGATCTAATGGTTCAAAAGCAGTGTAGTCCTTGGAGATTCAATAGAGAGAACATCTTAAAGCAGATTCGAAATACCATTTCAGGTATGCTTAAGGAAGTTACCCAGCAGGAGCCTCCAGTCTTCTTGGTCTCTAACTTTGATGTGTCTGACTTTGACTTCCCAAAGCTGGAGACCACCCTTCTGAGGGAGCTCCCAGCCTACAAACGCCACATCTTCATGCTCACTTTGCCAAGTGTTACTCATTCCACCATAGACCACAAGAGGGATACCCTGAAAGACAAAGTCTGGAAGGAATCTGTAATGCCAAAAGCATGGGCCACCATACCATTTAGGGGTTTGACCAAAAATGCCATAGAGGAGTTGCTAAAGACTTTGAACCTCTGCAGATCTTCCTTTGGCCTGGATGAGACGTCCCTGGAAAACATCGCTGAGGATTTGTGCCTGCCACTGGAGGAACTCAAGGCGAACATTAAGTCTCCACATTTGTTTTCAGAAGAGCAGGGTAAATCCTTAACAGATAAACTATTAGAGTACATTAGCCACCCTTACTTTTCAAAGGCTTTCCACTTGCAAAATTACTTCATTGACACTGTGGCAAATGATGTTAAAATTCTCCTTAGTAAAGAAGAACTTTTTACAGACAAGGTGAGTTCATTCAACTCTAGTGCCTCTCTTTATTGGGAGGAGTCAATGGGACAAAATAGTGTTCTCTACAATTGTTCCAGGAAGAACCTTTCTATCCCATTTTGTTGAAATGTTTCACGGTAACTCTGATGAATTTGGTCAGATCCATTTCCTACAGCTGTTGAGATCTTTCTGGTTAAGGCTGTTACATGAGGCAATCTTAAGGCTGTTCGTTACAAATTGGCTCATTAATGTGATATTTATTTGCTTTGTTTTTAAGACGTAGTTCCATCAGATGGACACCTCCTTGTCAGTTTGCTTTTGTTTTTTATGCCTTGTGGACCCTAGGTGGAAAAGTCTGATTAAGTTTTTCATATACATTTCCTTTTAGGAGCTTAAATTTTCCCATCTTATAGTAAGCTCTTGGCCCATTTTTAGTTGTGTTTTTTTTTTTAATATGGTGAAAGATAAGGATCAAGTTTTAGTCTTGCCTGATGTACAGTTTGCCCAGTTCCACTTGTCAAGTAATGTGTCCTTTGTACAATGTTAGTTTTTGGAAACCTGGCTGAGATTTGATTGACTGTAGGTGCACTCAGTTGCCTGAGCATGTATGGAGACATTTCTAGGTCCTCTCTTCTGGTAAGTTAGTTGGTCTATGAGTATGTTTTCATGCCACTGTCATACTATTTACTGTGGCTCTGTACTATGCCTTGAAATCAGGTATTGTGATTTCCTAGCTTCTTCTTTTTGATCAGTACTGTTTGGGCTATTTGTAGTCTTTTGCATTTCTATGTGAATTTTATGATTCCACAATCTACTTCTATTTTAAAAGGCACTGGTGTTTAAATGAGATTGTATTGGGGTCTGTAGATCACTATGCAAAGTATGGACACTTTGGTAACATTTAATGTTTATAAACTATAAACATGGGAATCTTAGCAACATTTTGAAGCCTTCTTTGAGATTTCTTTCATCAGTGTTTTGTGAGTATTGTTCAATGCTTTCCACTTCCTTGGTTAATTATTGAAATTTGATTTGCTCCCTTCCTTTCCCTTCCTTTCCCTTCCTTTCCTTTCTTCCTTCCTTCTCTCCTTGCCTTCCTGTCTCTGTGTGTATTTATGTCTATTATAAATGGACTTTCAAGGTTTCTTTCAAAATTTCACATATCTGACTTTCTAAGACAGATCTTATGTTTTCATTCTAATTACATTTATCATTATTCTCTTGGATCTCATTGTTTTTCTTTTTTTATTATAGTTTAGGTACACATGCAACATGATGGGTTATATTATGGCATTTCCATACAAGTGTGCCATTATACATCTCCTCCATTCTTATATATTCTTACTCATTCCTTTCCCTACTGCCTGCCACCATGCCCTTGTGCTTGTCTGAACTTTGGAATTGCAGTAGGAACAGAAGGTAAATGCAGGCAGTCACATGAGACCAGCTTCATGTTGCTCTGATATTCTGGTGTGTGGAGATTTCAATCACTTCCACTTTCATATTATATACACTTACATAACTTATGAGTCTATATAAAATCTAAGTTTCATGAATAAGAAAATGTATTTGTCTTCCTGAGGCTGGTGTAACTGACTTAATATGATTATCTCCAGTTACATCCACTTTCCTACAAATGACATAATTTTTTTATGGCTAAAAACAAAGTCCATTACAGATGGATAGTAATATGTCCAACCCTCTGTGGGACAGGTAATGAATCTTGTCCACTCACCAGCTCATGTCCATTCTCCCTTTATTTACAAGAGAAACTAGATGGCTGTGCTAAGAGCCCAGAGGTCATGAGGCCTAAGAAGCAATGCTTGCAAGCATTCACAAGAGGGAACTTTTCCATGAGAGATGATGTTTGCTGTTTCTGATATGCAAAACTGTGCCTTTAAGGTTTTTGCAATGTAGAGGTATTAATCTTAAAAAAAAGAGCAAACAGAATTTAAAGATAATTTTAAATAAGAAATAAACACCAGGGTAGGTAACTGCAAGGAATAAGTTGCCCTTGAATTGGACAGCAAAAGAAGAGGGAAGCCATAGGAAAAGTAGAGCCTGAGTAAGAGAGCATTTGACATGCAAGCCAGAAATCTAAACTGCAGCCAGGAACAGAGAGGAAGTTGCTTCTGCCTATAAAGGGGACAGGAGAAGAAGTCCTGTTTTACTGTAGTAGCAAACTCCTAGACCCTGCTTTGCTGTACCAATAATCACAAGGTCTTTCTTTCCTCCCTCATTCAGCATCTTCTATGGCAAACAGCTACATGTAAGCCTTCCAGACCTTCTCCTTCAACGGCCCAGCTTTGGGCGTCCAGCTTTGAAAATTTTTTTAAGAACTTCAAGAAGGAGAGCAAAATCCTCTCTGAGGAAACCATCACCTTGATTGAATCCCACCTGGAGAATAAGAACCTTCCGGGAGCAATTTCTGCAATCAGGAGTGCTCTAAGAAACATCGACAGAGCCCCACTAAACATCGCGGTGACGGGAGAAACAGGGGCGGGCAAATCCAGCTTTATCAATGCCCTGAAAGGAGTGCAGAATGAAGAAGAAGGCGCAGCCCCCACTGGGGTGACAGAGACGACCATGAAGAGAACCCCATACACACACCCAAAGCTTCCCACTGTCACAATATGGGACCTGCCTGGCATTGGGTCCACTTCCTTCCCACTTCAAAACTACCTAACGGAAATGAAGTTTGCCGAGTATGACTTTTTCATTATCATATCAGCTACACGCTTCAAAGAAAATGACGCACATCTGGCCAAAGCCATCGCCAAGATGAATTCAAAGTTCTACTTTGTCCGAACCAAGATAGATCATGACTTATATAATGAACAGAGAAGTAAATCTAAGACTTTCAATAGGGACAGCGTCCTAAAGAAAATCCGAGATGACTGCTCAAAGCATCTTCAGGAGGCTCTTTCCAGTGAGCCTCCAGTCTTCTTGGTCTCTAACTTTGATGTGTCTGACTTTGACTTCCCGCAGCTGGTGACAACCCTACTGAGTGAGCTCCCAGCCCACAAGCGCCACATCTTCATGCTATCCTTGCACAGTGTTACTGAGTCTGCCATTGACCAGAAGAGAGATTTCCTGAAACAAAAGATCTGGCTAGAGGCCTTGAAGGCTGGAGCATGGGCCACCATTCCACTTGGGGGCTTGATCAGAGATAAAATACAGAACGTAGAGGAGACCTTGGATCTCTACAGATCTTACTTTGGGCTGGGTGATGCCTCACTGGAAAATATTGCCAAGGATTTTAACATGTCTCTAAATGAAATCAAGGCACACCTTAAGTCTTTCCATTTGCTAACAAGGGCCAAAGACATGTCCATAGAAGAAAAACTATTGAAATATATTGAGTATATTTCCTCTGTTACTGGGGGGCCACTTGCCACAGGCCTTTACTTTAAGAAGACTTTCTATTTGAAAAGTCTCTTCATTGATACTGTGTCAAGTGATGCCAAGACTCTTCTCAATAAGGAGGAGTTTTTATTAAAGAAGATAGGGTCATGCATGTCTGATGCCCCAGAATACTGGGAAGCTGTGAAGGAGCCATGAGGCACATACCTTCCGGCCAGCTGGTTTTGGACACTAATTTATGACCCACTTTGAAGGAGCAAACATTTTCTCTGAAAGACCAGAGGATTCGCCATCCATTTCCTCTTTCAGGGACAGAATATCACTGTGGCAAGTGGAAAGAAGAGTCATCAACAGTGTAAAAAACACATGTGAAAGCTGTCTCCCATTAAAATGTCATGTATGAGAACGCGTTCTTGTATACATATGACTTGCAATATCTTTGCCAAATTAAACTTAGATTTTTTTTTCTCACAGAGATTCCCCCAGACATTGCTATACTCTTCTAAGATGAAGAAGATAGTTTCCTGCCTTGATGAATTTCTTTTGGGGTTTGTGAAGTACAGGGGCCTGGTTCCCAGCACACATCTCTACATGACATCTTTACATCTTTGTGACCATCATCCATGCTTCCTCCAGGATGGACACAAGAGCCACATGGTAGAAGGGATTGTGACCACTGTCCGTGCTCCCTCCAGGAAGAGCTGGACAACCATGGGTGGGTGAACACATCTGCAGGTCCTCTCAGTTCCTGAAAACTAGGGCATTTTATTCCATATCCTTCATCAGTCAACTCAAACAAGTTTAGAATTCAGGTTGTAGACAACACAAGCACTAATTAAATTGCCTCCCCTTGTGGTAAGGTTACTCCAAAGCACTAGCTTACTGCTTTCATCTCCAAGGGAGGATTTGTCTGCTTGAGAGGGGTCAGCATGTAGAGTTGTTGACAGTTTGTCTACAGCATCCTATGGCAACTCTTTTGGTGTCTCTTAGGTGTCATCCTAGGGGTCTCTTTTGGACAGCTAACATTGTTAAAATTCCAGTATTGCTTTCTATTTTTATAGCTGCCCTTGTAGAAGGTAGGTAAAGAGTCATACATGGAACTCCATGTGCAGAAATCAAGCATCCACATTTTAGCTCTGCATTGGGGTTCTTCAGAGAAAAGGGAGCAGTATATAGTATTCATATCTTCTTATTCCTATGCCTGGATCTATATAGTATTTGTTCCTTTTATGTCACATTGTCCTAAACACCTGACAGAAAAGACTTAAAAGAAGAAATGGTTTGTCTGGCTCACAGTGTCAGAGAATTGCACTCTTTCATAATGGAAGGAGCATGGTGAGAGAAATAACTCAGTGTAAGAGAAGGCTGTGAGCATGGTGGCAGAAAGAGCTAAGTGACAAGGGGCAGGAGTAACAAACTACTGGCTCTGGTGACCTACTTCCACCAACTAGGCCCTTCTAAAGGTTCAACAACATTCAAAAACATTAATTCCATGCTGGGGAACAGGTGCTTAACACAAAAGCCTGTGGTGGCCTGCAAATCACAGCACTGTCATATCCATAACCTATCATGGCCCTCTCCTCAACTTCCTCTCCTCCTTTCTCTTCCCCCTTTCCTCCTCCTCTTCCTTTTCTTCCCACCTCTCCCTCTTCCTTCTCCTCTTCCTCTCTCTCACTTCTCTCCCTGTCTCTGTTTCTATTGGCTCACTCTGCTGTGAGACTTGGCAAGCACAGTATCTACAGGGCAGCCTTGTAGCCCAGAAATCTTTGAAGAGTCATATTACTGCTTCTGCCCAAACAACAATGATTCTTTCCTCTCCTTCCCCGTGGGTTTCAGTTTTGCTTTGTTTTGTTTTTATTTATCTCTGAGGTCTTCAATCGGTTATACAGGGTCATTTACAGCAGAGGAGGTCATCTGAAGTATTCAAAGGTTCCTGCTTTAAAATTTAACCTCATCTAAAAATTACTTTCACAATAGCATCCACTGGTGCTTGAAATTACTTGGGCACTGTCTTAGTCAGGGTTTCTATTGCTGTGAAGAGCCAGCATGACCACAGAAACTCTTATAAAGGAAAACATTTAACTGGGGCTGGTTTATGGTTCAGAGGTTTAGTCCATTATCATCACGGCCAGTGGCATGCTGGCAGACATGGTGCTGGAGAAGGAACTGAGAGTTCTGTATCTTGATTTGCAGGCTGCAGAAGGAGTGTGTGTCCTGCACTGGGCTTAATGTGAGAATAGGAGACCTCAAAGTCCACCCCCAACAGCGACACACTTTCTCCAACAAAGCCACACCACCTTCTAATGGTACTACTTCCTATGGGGGCCATTTTCTTTCAAACCACCACAGGTACCATCACCTTGACAAGATGCTATGTAAAGTTAATTTCCTCAAGCCCCATAATTATCCTAACTCACTTTATACCAGAGTGTGTGTGTGTGTGTGTGTGCGCGCGCGCCCGTGTAGTACAATTGTACTTATTTATGAGATACAATGTGACAACTTGACTCAAATGAACAATACATAATTATCAAATCTTGAGAGATGGCTCAGCAGTTAAGAACACTGACACTGCTCTTCTAGATGACCTGGATTTAATTCCCAGCATCCACATGGCAACTGGTAACTGTCTCTCACTCCAACTCCAGAGGATCCTCACACAGACACGTATGCAAGCAAAACATCAATGCACATCAAATAAAAATAAATAAATAAATTTTTTTAATCTGGGGAGTCAGTAGATGCTGACCAACTGAGGGTATGTTTACCATTTTAATATCATTGCCTCATCTCTAGGGAATCTCTGTTCTGCTTATCCATAAAGAGCATAATACGTTATTTTAAACAAGAACCTCTGTGCTGTGCTGTGCCGAGCACACCAGAACCAGCTCCTTACATTTAACCCTTTTGGTACCTATTATCCAGACTCTCTCTGTTCCTCTATTCACCTTTGCAGCTTCTAGGAACTGCTATTTTACGCTCAAATCAACCATTGGAGCGTCCCACTGCAAGTCAATAGTATTAATAAGCAATTTCTTCTCTTTTTGACTTACTGTCCTTTGTGATGCCACAAAGTGAGCAGCCTGCTCCTGATGGCTATTTACCTGCCTCTGTGTCACGTACAACACCCAGGGCCCCATCTCAGTGGCCTTTCATCTATTTCTGTGTGTTTCAGTACTAGCAGTCGCAGTGTATATAGCAGGGGAAGCTGTCAGCGGAGAAGTCTGTCTCTGAGGAAATGAGGCTCTCTGTCCTGTATGTGGGAAATGTCTCAGTACGTTGCAGGTTTGTGTGTGATGATTTATATCAATTTTCAACTTGACGGGACCTAGAGTCACCTTGGGGACAAATCTCTGTAAGGGATTGTCTTGTTTAAGTTAATCAAGATGGGAAGACCATCCCTAGGGTAGCAGCACCAGTCACTAGGCGAGAGCCCTGCACTGCATACAGTGGAGGAAGCCAGCTGAGTGCCAGCATTCACCTCTCTCTGCTCCTGACTGCAGATGTCATGTGCTCAGTTGCCTTCCCCATCACAAGGGACTGTAGCCTTGAACTGTGACCCAAAGATAAACTCCTTCTCTCTTAATCTGTTTTTGCAGGGGTATTTTATCACAGCAACAAGAAAAATAACTAATACAAGTAACTGCCCAGCCAGACAGTAGTGGTGCACACATTTAATCCCAGCACTCAGGAGGCAGAAGCAGGTGGTTCTCTGTGAGTCTGAGGCCAGTCTGGTCTACAGAACAAATTCCAGGATATCCAGGGCTGTTACACAGAGAAACCCTGTCTTAGGGTTCCTTTAGGGTTTCTTTTGTTGTGAAGAGACAAAGAGACACCATGACCACAGCAACTCTTACCAAAAAATAAAAAATTTAATTAATTGGGGTGACTCGCTTACACTTTCAGAAGTTCAGTCCATTGTCATTGTGGCAGAGAGCATACAAGCAGACAGAGCGCTAGAGAAGTAGTTGAGAGTCCTAAATCTTTCAGGCAACAGGAAGTGGTCTCAGTGTCTCGCTGAGGAAAGCTTGAACAAAAGAGACCTCAAAGCCTGCCCCCACAGTGACACACCTCCTCTAACAAAGCTATACCCACTCCAATAAAGCCACATACTTCCTAACACTCCCTATGAGCTCATGAAGGCCAATTACATTCAAACTGCCACATTCCACTCCCTGGCCCTCATAAGCTTATAACCATATCATAATGCAAAATGCAGTTAGTCCAACTTCAGAAGTCCATAGTCTATCCCAGTCTCAACAATGTTTAAAAGTTCAAAGTTCAGCCCGGTGATGGTGGTGTATTCCTTTAATCCTAGCCCTTGGGAGTCAGAGGCAGGCAGATCTCTGTGAGTTGGAGATCAGAATGAGTTCCAGGACAGGCTCCAAAACAACACAGAGAAACCTTATCTTTAAAAAAAAGCCTAATTAATTGATTAAAATGAAAGCCCAATGTTCAAAGTCTCTTCTGAGATTCATGCAACCTCTTAACTGTAATCATCTATAAAAATAAAAAATCAGATCACATGCTTCCAACATATAATGGCACAGGCTATACATTACCATTCTAAAACATAGGGAAGGGAACATAATAAAGAAATACTACACCAATGCAGGACTTAAAACCACCTGAGCAAACTCCAAACTCTGCATCTCCATGTCTGGTGTCAAATGCTCTACAGGTCTCCAACTCCACTCAGCTTTGTTGACTGCAACACACTTCTTTCTCTTAGGCTGGTTCCACTCCATTAGCAGCTCTCCTCATCAGGTATCCCACAGCTCCGGCATCTCTAACATCTTGGCAATCCAGCTTCAACTTCACAGCTTCATACAGTGGCCTCTCTAGGCCTCCATTCAGAGACAGACACCTCTGACATATGACTGGCATGGGAGGCAAATTCTATTACCCTTTACTTCTGTCCTTAACTCTAAAGGAGTCCTACATTGCAGGTGACAGGAAATGGTCTGAAAGTCACATGGAGGGAAGCTTGAGCATATGAAACCTCAAAGCCCACCCCTCACAGCTTCCTTCAACAGGCTATACCTACTCCAACAAAGTCACACCTTCTAGTAGCACCACTCCCTATGAGCTTATGAGGGCCAATTACTTCAAACTACCACAAATCCTGTCTCAAAAAAAAAATATTTTTAAAAAACAAGAAACAAAACAAGTAACTGCCCATTGATTATCAACAATGACTTTCTACCAGTTCAACCTGTAATATATTGCAAACTTCCAGTCTATCCTATATGAGGTAGTGATATGTGGTATGTGTGTGACATGTGCCTGCAGTCTCTTGGAACATCAAATTGCTGTCTAAGTGATAAATGCTTAAAACCATACAAGGAAACTACTGGTTGAACACACGAGGAAAAATGCAATAAGAAGACAATCTTCATGAACTTCC